TTTGGTATTTGAAATGCCGCTTAAAAGTTAATTCTGGATGAGTTTATAATCACCTCCTAATGTCAGTCAGATTTTTTTTAGAGCTGATTCCCTCCCTGCTGTTGGAGTCCACACGGTATGCTTTGGACGCCTCTAGCAGGGGTAATTGTCATCCTCCAGAGTGTTGCCGCAAGTGGTGCGGGAATCTGCGTTACCACTGGCAGCATTTTGCTCCTCAGGCTTTGTTCTCATGGCACTTTCAGGCTGCTGCTCTTCTTTCTGAAGGCAGCGGGCCTGGGCGTAGGACGGAGAAAGGCAGGCATGGTGCTGGCTCTCAGCCCCTGCGTGCTTTCTGCTCCTCGCAGCACCCTGGGGTTGCCTCCGCTGCCCAGGCAGGCTGGGTGAGTGCCGGTGGCCTGAGTGGGAGGAGGAGGAGGAGGAGGAGGCAGGGCGAGGCAGGGTGACAGGTGGTGGCAGCTTTCCACCCATCTCTTGGGCAGTTGCTGGTCGGACTCAGCACCTGCAACAGGCACTTTTTTTGGGCTCTCCTGCAGCATTATTGCATGTCTGACAGTGCCTTGGAACTGTTTTGCTCAAGGTCCCTTCCCACCCAAAGCATTCTATGATTCTATAATTCTATGAATATAATCTGTTCTGGTTTTTTTAACAGAGATTGAATTAATTGCTAAAGCAAGAGAAATAAATTCATCCCCTTTTTCTTACATCAACTGATCTGAAGATCTTGCTTCCTTGCTGTCAGAAGCTAGATTTTTTTTTTTTTAAGACCTGACATAGTGTGAACAAAATTATATCAGACAAAGAGTCTCATCCCTTTTGTGTTGTAAGTTTTAAGTTGTATAACTTAAACTGCTCCCTCTCCATCTCCCCCACCCTGTACCATATTATTTTGCAGGTATCTCACAAGTTCAAGGAAAAGTTACTGTGTTAACCACAAAAACAGTAGCAGAAATAACAGTATTATTTTATAATCTGATAATTCACTCCCTCTTACTATTTTTGTGATATATTTTGCCTTTTCCACCTGTGGGTGTAGCAGTCATGAAGTGTCCTCACAGAACTACTACCGGGAGTCTCAGTGAATTTTCTCCACAGTTCTAAGATAGCAGTACTGCAAGATTAATGAACTTTATTCTGGGTACTGTCATTGATCACACTATCTAATGAGTTGATGAGGGGAATAAAGATCAACTGCAGTGACTTAGCTGGCAATTTTATTTTATGCTGAACAAGGTTCTTAAAGAATTTATAGTGCACACCCAATAAAATGAATTCTAGATAAAGGCATTTTAACCATGCTGTCTTAGAAAACTGGAAACAAACAGCTGAGTGTGATGTCTAGTTTCCAACCATTTCTTAACCGTAGTAAATTTTTTTAATTCTGTTTTATTTCCCCCATTTTGGATATTACTTCTTTATTTCACCCATTGCTGGGTAGAATTTAAAAAAAAAAATCAATAACCCAACACAACGTCTTGCAAGCTGTGTTTTTTCAACCATATGTATTGAAATTTGCTGAAATCCTAGCCTTCATGTTTTAGGTTTAAATAAATATTTGCAAGAATACACAGTTTCAACTACATATGCTCCAAGGTATATACTTCATACAGCAGAAAAACTCTGTGTAATTTTCTGGGTTTGGTGACACTCTCGTTAATTAAAATGGAAACTTAGAAATTTCATTTTGAATTTGAAAATGAATTTTTAAGTATACATAAGGTCACTCCTGTGGTGTTAGCATTGTTCTGCCTTTATACTAGCATTAGTTATTTATGGAGTGACCAATAAAATGTTAGGCCCCTTTCACAAATAATATGGGAATACACTCTTAAAAGCTAGGCTTGATGGAGCGGGAAATACAGCTACTGACAGAGACACAGGATCCTGTTGAGGCTGGTGGGGACCTGGGGACGCCTCCAGCCCCTGCCAAGAGCAGGGTCAGGTGTGGACTCAGAGCAGGCTGCTCAGGGCTTCACCCAGTCAAAATATGAAACCCCCAAGGATGGAGAGCCAGCCCCACCGCTGGGCTCTCCTCAAGGGGGAAGTCTTCTCCTTATCTCCAGCCTGAGCCTCCCATGTTTCAGCTTGTGCCGGTGCCTCTCGCTTTCCTGCCGTGCACCGCTGTGAAGGCCCCGGCTGCGTCTCCTCCGTCCCCTCCCGTTGGTGCTGGGGATGCTGTTAAGAATGGTTGCCTGCCCTTGCTGTCCGGTTGTTGGACACCAACATACATGTTCATTTCCCTCACCCTTGTCTACATCACTTTTGCTTGAATTCAGAACCATATCAGTGTAAAGCAAACACTGAATTCATGAAAATTAAATAATCATGAATCTACATGGACTTATGTTTGGTCTTAGGTAAACCAGGCTGTATAGACAAATTAGGGGCTATTGACTTCCGTCACTCAGGAGTGCAGTTCCTTAGGGGCTGTCTTCCTAAAGATATGCTGTGATGAACTACTTCAAGGCAGTGTAAGGCATAGGGGAAGGAGCGTTCATCCCAGGCCTCTTCGAAGAGCCATGCCAAATGTGGGAGATGTGTATTTGAGCTGTACTGCTACTGTTGCCTTCGTAGTGACCAAAGGAGCAGGGTAAGCGAGATGAAGCAGGAGTGGAGGGAGTGTGCCCTCCAGCATTTCACCACCCTGATTAGAACTAGTAGTGTAACTGTCTTCACAGCTCATAAAAATGTAGTAATTAAATTATATTCAGTGTTGGGATCTTATCAGTGCAGCTCCCCTAGGTGGGATGTGGTTCTACTCTTAAGCTTAATTGCTGCCTAAGCTGCTTACAGTCTCACTAGGCTTTTTGCTTTGTGCCTTCAATCACTTTGGAAACTGATTGATTTTAGAGTGCTCTAGCACAACTTCAGTGTCTTCGTGTAGTAGTTGTTAGCTGTATTTGCTGAGAAATGGCTCTCTAGAAGAAACGTCCAGTCGGGCAAACAAAGGAAATGCTGTCTGGCACATAGTACAGTATTTGTGGTATGTGTTTACTGCAGAAATCGCACTCTTAATGCATTTTTGTGTGTGACATTGGGCTAGTAAGCAATTAAAATGATAGCCAGCTGCTTTCAACTGCATGTGGAGTTACACACAAATTCATTACCATTTTCAAAAAATCATTGATGTTTGAATCCTGCAAGAATACAACCCTCCCTCTCAAATTGCACCCAAACTGTCTTTCATCAAGCTTTTGGTTTGCAAGTGGTAGCGGAAGATCTCCACAGTGTTAAAACTCCCACTTAAACAAACAAGTGCATCTGTCTGGAATAAATTGTGTGGGAGGAGTATTGGGGAGCAGAGCTGCTCACTATACTTTAGAAACTTTGCCCTGTATATTGCTGAGTTCAAGTATAATGAACACATGGCTCTTGAGTGTCCAGAAAAAATTGCAGTTTACTGAAAACAAGAAATTAATCTTTATACATTGCATCTAATAGTAACACTGAGTACCAGGCAGAGAAGAAATGAACTTTGAAGCGAGACCTGAAGATCAGTAAAAAAATAACTTTATGGAAGGTATAATGTGACTGTGGAAGAAATTAATTGAAAACCAGAAGATTTTTTTTTTTTAAATTAATCTTTATACATGGAATGCAATAGTAGCACTTGGAGTAAAAGGAAGAGGAGAGATGAGTTTTGAAATCAGAGCGAAAGTTATAATATCCTTGTTTATGGCTGCAGAAGAAAATAATTCAAAACCTAGAGAATTATTTGCCACCAGATTCCAGAGCATTAACTGTTTTGACTTGGTGTCTCTTGCTGGAGTAATTTACAGAGAGAAAATAAGTTCTGAGAGATCCGGGGCCCAAGCTATTCTGCTTTGGTGATTTGTAGCCTTATATTCCAAAGTCTGCTTTTCAATCTGCAGCACAGAATGAACAGAACTTTGTGCAGAACTGCCCCAGTACAGCAGTTTCTGAGGTCACATTGGGGGAAAAAGAAGAAAAGATCTCCCCTCACCTGGGAGAGTTAGTGTTCAATTCCACCAAGGTCTGTTAGGTTGGGCAGGCCCTATCTCCCTGCATAATCTTAGCCTACTGACCATCTTTCTGCATCCTCAGGTACAAAAATATTTTGTAAATCTTTCCCTTTGGCAGATGTTGGGGAGCATTATTCATTGACTACTAGGAACAGGTTGACGGCATGTGATTTTTGCAGAACCTTCAGGACACTGAGGAGTACACAGAAGCAAGACCAAAGACTAAACTATAGTTGGGGGAGGGAGGGAGTGCAAATGCTTTCTGTGTGAACACTTCAAAAGCATTCTGTTGTAATCTCTCCAAACTAGATTGGCAGACTCATTTGAAAGTTAATCTTAAATGGAATTTCTTAAGCTAGAAATACTGTGTTCACACTTTTTTTTTTTAATAAACTGGTGAAGCATACTGAAATAGAATTAAAGGAACTGTTCCATTTTATCAGCTATTTAAGGAAAATATGAGAAAATAAAGTTATTTAATACTGAGAAATTACTCCTGGGTGCTTGGTGTGAGCCCCATTTGTGCAAATACAGCTCTGTTAGAAACGATAAATCATAGCTGTGGATGGATATGGCTTCATCCACAGTGCTGATTCTGCAAGGTTTAGCTAATAAAAGGTGCGTTCTGAGATATATTTTAATGCATATGCAAGAGACCCAGAATGTACATGGCATTAGCACAAAAAGTGCTTCATAAGCCATTTCCCT